AGGTGGGGTAGCTTAGTGGTTAAAACGTTCGCTCGTCACGCCAAAGAGCCGGGTTCGATTCCCCATAAGGTTCCAATGTGTGAAGCTCATTTGATCATGATACTGCTGGAATATAAAGTCTCATGATCCTGTACCTCCGATACATAATTTATGATTTATTGATAGAGGTTTAACCTAAAATGACATGAAAACAATGTAACAGAGACTGCAACCGAGTCTATGCAGGTTGAAATGTTTGAGTAACTGTATTTAGGCATCTTCAAATTTATCTCTAGGTATGCCCTGGTTGCCACGTTGATCTGTCTGTTTTAACGTCAGATCAGCCAATCAGTTTACCTGATATTTTATGCCCCGGTTGCTAACTTTTGACAGGGAACCAATGTTGTTGTTGGACTGGCCTTGGTCTGTAAGATCCTGGCCTTGCTAAAACTAAGTGTGACTTGTGATCTTTTGTTTTATCGTCTGGTCAGCCAATCAGTTCACCTGATGTTTTATGTTAATGTTCGCATGTCTTTGTTTCTGTGACAACAGAAATAGGTGATATCATGTGACTGACGAGTATCATGTGTGATTCAAAATTTTACCAACTAATCAAGTTAATCAACAAATAGTATATTTTAATGACACTGAATATTTGTTTGCTTTGTGTCACAATTGAAATAGGTGAGTGTCACGTGATTCTTATTAGTGTTTGACAACTGATGAGATAAATCATATGATTGGTTAATATTACTTTAAATAACCATATTTGGAGATTATTTGTTATTTGAACTTATGATTTGGTCTGTAACATGGAGCTGATGTCACATGTGAACTCATAAAATTGGGTTCAGGACCATCAAAGTCTCTCAGAAGATAAAATATTGAAAGTTCATTCAATTATCTACACGTACGTATTTTTATATTATTTTAGCTTTTTAATCAATTGTGCAATTTGAAAAACAAAACACTGTGAAACCGTGCAGACTTATATTCTAATTAATACAATATTTATAATTAATTATAATATTTCAATTATAAGACTTTAGATAGTAGGATAGGAGCACTCTCAAAGCCTACTTTACAACATTACGCATACGTAAATGTACAATGTCTCATGGCCCCTCTTCCTCCTCCTGTTGAGATACTTCACTGTCTGTATCAGATATGTCTTCCTCATCTTAAGTCAAGTCTTCCACCCAAGATATATATTTGTACAGTTATGCAAATCACTTCATGATACATATTATTTGTGTCTTGTACTTGCATCAGTATTTCTTGAAACCCACTGCATATGATACAGATATGTAATAAATCGTGCATACGTCTCTTTAAATTTCCCATGTATGCCTTCTGTCATTTCTTCAGGTAGATCTCTTTTCATGTACAGCTGTCTTTTCTCATCCAAAAAGTCCTTATTCAACTCAAGTGTAGATAAATACATATGTCTCATACCTTGCTGTTCCAAGTCAGCCACCTCATTTTTCACCTTTGTCATGTCGTCTGTGACATCACTGTACGATTCATCATCATTTTCCACTTCAGGACATCTTTATCATGTAAATGTCTTTGTAAGTTGTGGTTATTGCTAAACACCTGACCACCATAGTCACAGTCCACCAGAGGTCATAGTGTATTCACAGCCGAGAAGTTTCTTCCTCCCACTTCCTTTTGAGTCCCACTTGGGGTATCCCAGTTGGGCCCACTGGGACACACACGAGGACACTGTTTTGCAAATCGTGCATGTCTCCACATGTCCACAGTCATTAAAAGATGGCATTTTTTGGAGGTTTTCTTCACACGTCCGCTCACTCTGAAAGTCTAACTCGGACTGAATTTTCCTGGTTTGGAGGTCTCCTTGTAAACTGAAATCATTGGGAAACAGTCGGATATGGGGTTGTTTATCGATAGGGTTGTTGAACAGAAGCACATAATGACAGTTTCTTTTTTGAGTAGGGTCTTCGCTGTGATACAAATTCTGGTTCAAGGCTATCAATGAGCAATTACGATGATGACTTCCTTCAGTAAAAAGATCTGTAGTGCGTGGATCTTTGCTTGCTGTTGACATTAAGTCGTTGAGGACAATGACAATCACAACACTGGGGTCTGGAAATTCATCCTTTTCGAGGTCAGAACAAAATTCAACACTTGGATAAACACAGGTTTGAATGGCATTATAAAGTGGTTGCCATCTTTTGTAGAGCTATGTAATATGCTCAGGATATTGTTCATAATTTTAGATTCGCCTTCACTTAGTAGGTTTTCCCACGGAAGATTGTCCCGGACACGATCATGCTGAATGGATGTAGTAGCCTAAATTCTTCCAGAGACTGGATAGTACTTTCTGATGAATGTGGTCACAGCTGGTTTATACGGTGTGCAGATGTGAGGAGAACGTTTGGTACCAGCTGCTGCTGCCAAGTCAACACTGACAAAGGAGGAAGGCCATGAGGAGGAGGAGAGGGAGGAGCAGAGGGTTGTTGATGTTTCTGTCTTCAAAGTCTCAAAATATTGTCTGGCCTGGAAAAAGTCCGATAGCACATGGGACACGTTGATTGCATGGTGGTACGAGTCTAAATGACAGCGAACATGTGCACTAGCTGCTGTTATCTAAAAATCAATGTTCCATTTCTTTGTGCGAATCTTAACATAAAACATCAGGTAAACTGAGGTAAGTCTCAAACAATGACTGCACACAAAGGACACATAAATTGATGAAGAAAATGGACATGGTTGTCAACTAGCTGTTCGTTGTGGCTTGAATGAATATCATCATTCGGGGTTGTCTTTGTCATTTTGGATTAAAGATGAGTTTATTATATGAAGGAAACGTGTTACATACTCATGTCTACAGAATGAATAACATGATAAGGGCAGCGTTAACGGTATTCTTGGGTCTTGAATGGTCATCTGCAACCAAGGGGCGGTGGGGTAGCCTAGTTATATTGCTGGAATATTGCTAAGAGTGCCGTAAAACTAAAACTCACACATCTTGAACCATGATGCTTGTGCGCTGAGCATCTATCACGAGGATGCTGATATACGAGTCATATTATATACTACCCATCAAAAGTTTAGACTCACTAGTGTAAATGTAGCCACTTACTTCAGTCAACTGTTCTAAACTAGATTTTGCAAAATATCCCATTCTGTTTAAAGCTACTGTTTACACATGAACTGATGTATTGTAAAACGAATTTGTAGTGCTGAAAAGATTATTGTCATGAGTTCAATAAATGAGGGAACTCAGTTAAAATTGGTTAATTCTTAGGAAAACGTAACACCAAAACGCAGCTGTTCACATGCACGATATTTGCACATGCTTTTCAGGAGTTTAATGCATGATCATCGTGCAATTCATCTGCATAAGGTTTGCAGGTGGTTCTCCCAAGATTGTGAAGAAATTCACCTTTGATGTACCCATACATATATAAATAACATATAGTGGGTGTTTTAAGTGAGTCTAAACTTTTGTGGGTAGTATATGTATCAATACCATCAATGAAGTGCTATTATATAATGTTGTGTCTTATATAACAGGAAAGACCCGAATATCTGCCGAACTTTAAGAACCCCTGCTGGTACACAAAAGAGAATGGGAAATTTCATCTGAAGTGCGTCCCATACTACCATCTTCTTGGCGTGTGCAAATCGGGGACCACCGACCTTTCCTACCGCATACTGGCCCATGAAGATGTCCTTGGATGTAATGATTGTTACAAACAGAAGGAATTATTTTATTGGTGCCGTAGAAGATACGGTAATGTTATTAATTGTTAATTAATACATAATTTAAACCAGTGTGTACGGATGAGGGAATTAATGACGAGCATTTTAAAGACATTGACTGGTGTTCAGGCGCATACAAACCAGTTCTTTCGGCGTTTACTGTTTGTTCCCTTGTAGACAGACAAATGTGACACAGCCTTGTACCCAAAGGGTAACGGTAACCATGGAGTAAATATGTAAGCACATCAGTAACTCCTCTATGTAACGTTGTGCTGTGAGTTTAGTGCTCAGAGAGCAAGTTCCGTCTTTCTGGACCATAAATTGAGATTGGTACTGGCAACAAAAGAAGCAAGAATTCAACATATATGATGGTTTCAGATTTGAGAAATCATTTTTAAAAAATAAATTGTACGTCTTGACTAACATCAGTGGTGTGCACACACAGTAAAGCTGTCCATTTTGGGGTTTTTTCTGTAAGATCGTGTCTCGACTACAAGAAAACATAAAAAGGACAGTTTCCTTCAACGTTTCAATAATGGATATAGCACAAAACACAAATCATCTGTTTTGTCTGAAAATGATACCTGTTACAAGTGTGGAGCTAGAGAGGGGATCAGGAAGCATGGAGTGTATGTGATGGGAACGTTCTACAATCAGTATCTGGTGTACCTTCCACGTGCTTGGATAACTGCCTGTACCCTATGTACATACCCACCGATAGTCGTCGTATCCGTTGAAGAGGATACTGACGCCATTTTTTTGCAAAGCTGCGTCCAGCTTTTTGCAGGGTTTTGCTTAGAAATATGATTGAGATTTTTGGGTCTGCGCCACCAAAATCTATTATGATGACTTTGTTATTATTTGGTGTTTTGTATTTTCTCGTCTGTATATTAGAAACAGCATACAAGAGAGAGACGGAGCAGTACAGCCTATTGTTGTTGACCTAATGTTTTGTTTGCTGGTTGTTTAACGCCACATTCAGCAATATTCCAGCTATATGGCGGCGGTCTGTAAATGGTCCAATCTGGACCAGACAATCCAGTCATCAACGTCATGCGAAAATTGGTCTACGTGGTTGGGATACGATGGCACGTGTCAAGCAAGTCAGCGAGCCTGACCACCCGATCCCGTTAGTTGCCTCTTACGACAAGCAAGGGTTGCTGCAGACTATTTCTCTCCCGGAACTTCAAGGCTATGATCCAATGTAAGACACGTTAGAATAAGTTTGAATATGATGAAATAAATCACTGATATTTCAAATCATTTACCTTTACACAGGTTATAAAATGAACATGGCGGGAGAAGGGACACCATGCAACTTCAGCTGCTTTCTACAAAAGTTCTCTACCGCGGCGCAAAAGATAGAACAGAAAGTTACAGAATCAGGATACCACAACATGATTACAGGTAGGAATCCATGATAACATAGTCCAGCTTGTCGTCATTATACTTCCGGGTTTCATCAAAGTGGTAAATGTCTAAGACTTGCAGTACTTCCTTTTGATTCCTTTCTCATCAAGTTCATAAAACTGAAATTTTATGCAAAGCGTTCTTAAACAACCCCACTCACTCCTTAACTCACTAATTTCGTCCAGGTGACGGATCTCCATCAGATTTTGGCGATTTCCGAGGTTGGCCCAAAATACCTCAAAATGCAGGTTTAGATAAACCGGTGGTTCTGACACCCCATCTTATGAGGCATGTATATACAGATCCAAAGTTCATCCTCATCTTAAGAAATCCAACTGACAGGTGGGTACTTGTTTTGTGTTTCCAGAACTATCTTAACTTTTATTATCTCAAACAGATTGTTTGTGTATTGATAGACAGTTGAATTTTTGTACGGATCAAGTTTTAATAATATCAGATTTTTAACAAATAAAGGTACCACCAACGAACAGAGAGACACAGTCAGTGTCACGATATGTGCATGTGCTGTTTGTATGCAGCGTGTATTAGAGAGCACAGCTACATTTTGTCCTAAGGATTGGAAATTTTGATGCGGTCTTGCTGGTTTTAGCGTACAATGATCGAAAAGTGCAGATATTGCAATTGCCATGTGCCCCCATTTTCTTAATTAGTTAAAAAATGAATATCATGTAAGTCTACAATGCCCATTGTATAGCGATGTTTATCTTACCTGCATATAAAAAAACATTAATTTTATTGGTCAAGGACGCTTTAACAAGTTTCCGTGTCACCCCTCCAAGGAGGGTGACAACTGGAAAAAATATTACCCGCTGCCACGGTAACTGCTACGGAAGCTGTATCGCTAACAATCGTTTGACGTCATAATATGACGCATGCAGTGCACAGAGTTCGAAAACAGTTCCATTAGCTGTTTTTGAGTTCACTATGTAAATATTTATTTTACCAACTTTCGTTGCTTTATTCAAATTATTTTATACATTACATGGTTTGAACACTCAACTTAAACATAAGTACCCATTTCATTGTTATAGCAGTTTTAAGCTTGTCATTGATTTTAAAAATCCAATCGAGAAACAGACGCCATTTTGTTTACATGTCATATAGTCCTTAGCGATCTTCACAATAAAATAAAATGATATTTTGTACATTTAATATGGCGGTAAGATAAATACGTTGTATTCTTCTCCCTCGGGCAATCCGGTCCGATGTATGCCTTTTTGTAGCAGTGTCTTCCCTCGCCTACCTGGGTCGGGTGACACTGCTACAAAGAGGCGTACATCAAACCGTATTACCCTCGAGAGTAGCATACAACTTATAACGAAGCAAATATTTGCTATGTTAATAATTTTGAGATGACTTCTTATGAAAATGCACACAAAAGCTTATGGTCAAGTAACTTGAGCTATGTTTACTGCTACTACATTTTTCAGGTGAACAGTTAGCTTCTTTTTGCATTTGTTAACGACGGGTGCACCGACAGGACAGCATACGCGCACCTTCTTTTATGAACAAATGGCGTCAACCCTTCTTGACTGAGAATTCATGATAAAGTCGGATAGTATCGGAATTGTACTATCAACTTTGCCTTCAGCAGATATTTCGCATGGACGCGCAAAGGGTTTTTTGCTTTTATTTAGTCATCTATGATCACCGAGGATTGGTATCTAAAGGTGGATGTTTTGAACATGTCCTCTCAAACAATAGAATCCCGTCACTATGAAAACGTACTTTTGTAGAATTGCAATGTTTGATCTGTTTTATACACATCTAAGTCTAAAATCAAAAACAGAATCAAAATACGTTTGAAATGAAAGATCCTCTTCATTTTTTAAGGCGACTAAAATATCTTAAGTTCAATAATGTATCAAAATACTTATTTATTTATTTACGTATTTTAGTCCATTAAACGTAACATAAGTTACAGCAAACGATAGTAGATAGATAGTAACGTGAGAAAAACGGTTATGTTAAGCTACTAATTATAACATTGAAGAAGCGAATTTCTTAGGTAATATTTTCAGTGAAATCCAGCAGAATTATATCCTTATGTAATGTAATTGCAGGTTATATTCCGACTACATGATGAAAACCGGACTGTCTGCTGAGGATTTCCATGAAGCCGTCAGTGACGATATTCGGATCGAAGAGGCCTGCATGAAGAACCATACTGTGGAACAATGTCTGTACAGCCTGGACATAGCACGTAAAGTTCGGGTGAGAATTTTTGAAAACTAGTAACTCGGTCATCAAGAATGTGACGAATATTTATCAATATTGTAGGACTAACAGTAAATCAAGTTTAACTTCAGTCAAACAACTGATGGGGCAGTGGGGTAGCCTAGTGGTTAAAACGTTAGCTCGTCACGCCGAAAACCCGGATTCGATTACCCACATGGGTACAATGTGTGAAGCCCATTTCTAGTGCCCCCCAGTATGACATTGCTGGAATATTGCTAAAAGCGGCGTAAAACTCACTCACTCAAACAACTGATAAAAACACATACTAAAATTCATATATTTTTTTTCAGACTCGAATTTATTTTGGGTGCTATTCGGTGTATATGCGACAATGGCTGAAGGTGTTTCCGCGAGACCAATTCCTGATCTTGCGAACAGAAGACCACGATAATGATCCAGAAGCACAGCTAAGCACAGTGTACAACTATTTGAAACTAAGTAAGTTATCACTTTCTTGCATAAGTTTCTTTTGACTTCCCAGATTATTTCAGTTGAACAATTGACTAGATTTTGCATGTGTTCATGATGAGGCAGGATGCGCTCACCTTTTCGCGAACACTGTTTCATAAACAAATATTATCGTATCGCATGGTGGCATTTACTTTTTATAGTATCAACATCCTCGAACAACCCAGTTACTAATATTCCCACTTGAGGACAGCTCAATCAAAGTGTCATTTTACTTCAGATTATACTGAAGAGTGGCTGGCCTCCATCACGCGTGTCCCTCATCAAAATGCCAGTAAGAAGAAGAAAAGAATGGGACCCATGCTTCAAAAGACCCGTATCCTACTGGATGGATTTTACAGCAGATATAATCAGGACTTGGCAGATATATTGCAGGACAAGATGTTTCTGTGGTTGACATAATATTTGCCTTGAAACTTAATCTTAATTGTGGGAGATATAAAATACAACAATAAGCAAATAAACACAAACAGTTAAGAAAATTATACACGTCCAACAATATTTACGAATTCCTAATTCCCAGGGGTTCAAACAAAATTTTAAAGGGGCTTTAACAAAGTAACTTGCCCTGACTAATTTTCCACTTGCCCTGATTTTTATGACATCATCGTGATGATGTTATTATGAAAGAATTAATCAACATGGTATTTGATGTTAATGTTTACTGGACTTTGTATTTCTGCTTTACAGGTAATAATTGTCATCATGTTTTTTTATATAGAAATGTCTCTGACTCTAATATTCTGGAAAAGTAATTTAAATCAATACAAATATGATTACTGGAATTCGCCTTCAGCAGGCTTTATGCATCAGTTGACTGGTGGCGAACTTGAAACACTGTGGATCTGGCAATGAAGATGTGCCCGCCTGCTCCTGAAGACCATGCCCCTTGACATGTCTCGTACCTTTATCGCCTGTCGTCCACTCTTTGATGGCTGACCTAGGGTCAAAGTCTGTGAGGGACTTGGGCCCATGTGTCATAATAGTCAGGATATTGTTCAGGTTATCTTGACTGAGAACTGATCTGTGGGAGGATTTGACAAGATTCACAGATGAGAACAGCCTCTCACAAATTGCTGTGCAGGGACTGATTGTGAACATAAGTTCAACAATTTTCAAGAAAACCTTGAAACACTCGGGTCTACTGAACAGTAGGTTTGTTTGATTAGCAATCATACACTGTTTTTTACAGTTCTTTAAGTGCCCTTTAAGAGTTGTGAACTCTTCTTTGATTCTTGTCTTCTTCTCCTCTGTGAATAGTGGATGGTAATGATCAAGTAAGGCATCAATCTCCTCACACCCATACACCTATCAGTTGGACACTCTGTGTAGTCTAGTACTTTGAAGTATTTCAGTGGAGCTTGACTGAAACATTCAAACCTTTTGTCAATATATTTCATAATTCCATCAATTAGTGAATTGAAGAACACGCCCTGTTTGAAGTTTACACGTTTTGACTGTCCAATTAGTCGAATCACACCATCAAAAGTACCATCTTGGTGTGAGTACAGATCCATGAAGCCTTTCAGGTTTTCTCCTGTCTCTGGCTGGACCTTTAGTTGGGTAAGTTTCAACATAACACCTTCAACTTCCTGGGAAACTGTAGTGACAAGAAGGTCCTCCTTTTGGAACACGAGGGATACTTCAGTGAGTAGAGGGAGTACATCCAACAGAATAAACAATGTCTTAATGAAAGTCACAGTTTTTATTTTTGCAAGCCAGCCCTTTGCTTTAGAGCTCTGTTCAGTTCGCCCAGTAGCAACAGTTTCAAAGTGTTGAATCACTGAATGGAGACTTGTACTGAGAGCCCTCACAGCCTTTGCTTGCCAACCACTGCACATGTTTCACATCACTCAAATGAACCAAATCTGTTTCAAAGATCTGAGAAATAGTTTTAAGTTCTCTTCTCATTTTGGGGCTATTGTGGTAGAATTTGAATATCTGTTTCAATATCTCTTCAAAGTTACTCAGTGGCAACAAGCCTTTTACTGCATCCAACACAGACAGCTCTAGCTTGTGTGCTAGGGAGCTTCCCGTTTGATCTTTGCCGCAACTCCTGAACGGTTACCCATTATCACAGAAGTACCGTCAAAGTTCACAGACACTAGTTTGGGCCCCTCGTGGTCTTGTGATACAAGCTTGTCGTAACTAATGCCATTAATTTCAAGAGCAGTTTTTATTCCATCCAACACCCCATCAGCACTAGCATGATCTAGAGATACAACTGCAGCATGGAATGCAACTGGAACCCCCTGGCTTACGTAACGAATAAACACTGTTTCCTGTTCAAGAATTGCCGAGTCGGTACTCCCATCACTAAGTCTTTTTTTAAACTCTGTGAAATTGCTTGAATAAACTTGCTCGAACCATCAATGTTTCTGTAATTATACCCTATGCTCAGGATGATACACAATTTCATGATGCACGTGCATTTCATGTAGGGTGCGTTTTAGCGATTCACTACAGACGTGAGTGTATCGTTACGTTTTTGTTCAACGTTTCTTTTTTCAAACGTTTTGTCGTCGGCAACCATTCCCCCACAGGCTGGGGTTCAGCATGGATTGGTTTGTGTCAAATATTTTCCTAAAATTCAAAGTTTTCCTTTGTCAAGTTTCTTTTTTGAAGAGTATATTAACTCTATCATGGTCTAGAAGCCAGACCCCAAAAATGATGCAGTTCTGGCGACTTAACAGTTTTCACAATCAGGAATGATTTAGCTTTGATTTAAAGCAGGTTGTCATCAGCTACTGTGCGTGACTACCGTGCAGGGGCCCTTTTAAGGTGCAACATGCCATGTCAGTTATGGCAATATTTTCACCGATAACGGGATGGTTTAATTTAATAACTCTGGGTTGGTGTGACCGATTTTCATAAAAATAGTAGTTTGGAATGCTCAGATCATGATTTAAAATTGTTGACAATAATATTACATATATGCTCATCGCCATAATATTTTGGTATGGTCAAAGGTCAATTTTAATAGAAAGGGCATTTCATGAGAAAATATGAGTTGAATTTTACAAATTAAAGGTACTTTTTGCAACATTATGTTTTTCTGATTCAGCTATATCATGTGAAGATCATATATATCGTTGGTTGGCATTGTATTCATGAAAAACCATAACAAGGAAACAAAGGTTGGTACTTTGTATTTAGATCAGCAAAATATTATATAATGTCTGTTCAACAGTAACAGCTCCATGCTTTACATAGTCAGCGATACCAAATATGTCGAAGATACTGTTGGACTATCATTAAAATCACACAACATAACAGAAAGCTCTTAAATGTATAATTCTATTATGCCAGATGTCTTTCTTTACTCATCAAAGAATGATGAGTAAGTCATGTCATCATAACGCAAGCAACATTGCCTTCATATCAACTCGTAATTTATTGTTCTTCATAGTCATAGTGTATTCCCAGTTCACATGTTAGTCAATGTTAACAATGTCAAGATCACCGGAACATGTTTCAAGTCCACATCCACATGCTGAAGTACACAACAGGTTCAACCTCTTGCAGCTACACCTTCCTGTACATTGATTTTATATGCACAGATATGAAGTTGAAGAAGGTCCACGGAAACTATTTAGTCTTAACTTATGTGCAACTTTATCAATTTTACAGATTTTACCAAAATTATGTTTTTATAATTCAGCTATATCATTTAAAGATCATACATACCTTTGGTTGGCACTGCATGCATGAAAAACAACATTTCAGCAGATGTCAGAAGGAGATGTCAATATTGTTTATATTTGTGTCATTTCACGCTCAAGCTGCACTGACATGCCGTGAAACCCATAAAGCTGATGGATAATAATGTGGCATCTTGATGGAAGGTTTACAAGTGAAATACATTCCTTTTGATTGTAATAGGTGATGTATCTCTCTATTCTAAGTTATCTTGGTTAGAAATATGAATATTTCCTTAGGTGGGGAAACATTTGTAAATTAGTAAATTTTCAAATGTTTTCATGGCTTAAAACCTTGTGCATCATTCTGGATATCAAGGGTATACATTTGAACACTTTTTATATGTACTAAAACAAAATGGTCACAGAAAAACTGGGTTCACATTGTTTTATGCTGAAATCTTTGAAATCAAGGCTCATACGGAGGTCCTGGCTAAGCAAAACATTGTTATGCAAGCAGACAGGTTTCCATCAGGCCACCAGCTTAATCACTTCGTTTCAAGCCATTGTCAGTTCTTTAGACAAATGTGAGTGGGAGAAAAGGGCTACAGATGTTAAAGACTTAAATGTTGTCATTCACATTGAGGTTTGTTAGTTGTTTAGGCTATGAAATACACAATGCCATTTTATAAAGTGGTGAAATGTAACATATGTTACAGTTGTTTAGGCTATGCAATATGTTATTACCCTCGCTATACTAAGAGAATGTAATCCCAAATATAACATATGTTACAGTTGTTTAGGCTATGCAACATGTTATTACTCTCTCCTTGTTTATTGGGTTTTTACTGACAACAACATTGCAGTTTGCAACATGTTTCACATCCATGTATTATACAATGCATCCGATTCTCTTTTGTGTCTTCAGGCTATTTAACATCTTTCTTGTAAACATCCACTTTTATTAGAAATTATTGAATTGTATAATGAGCTTGCTACTGGCCAATGCGACATCGTCTTTTGTTGGTTACCCAGCCACGTTGGCATTTCTGGGAATACAATGGCTGATCTTGCTGCCAAGGCAGCACTCAACAAATCTGTGACACCACTTCTTATTCCATACTCTGATTACAAATCTTGCATTAGAACTTACATCCGTGATCTGATGCAGAAGAAGTGGGATACCCAAGTAGGTATCAATAATTACATGAAATAAAACCCTATATTAATTACACCTACTTGGGTTGTCAGTCCTGACTTGAAGAGGTCTTCATGCGACGATGTCGCATTCGCCGTACAAGGTATACTCATGAATATTTGTTAAAAGGCGAAGATCCTCCGTTTTGCATCCCTTGTGATGAGAGAACCACGGTCAGGCATGTCCTGCTTGACTGTGTTGAATTCTCCATCTTAAGGGATAAATGTTTCAATATCAAAACAGTAAAGGACCTTATAAATACAGTTAATTATCGTTTAATCATTGATTTTTTAATAGAGATAGATTTGTTAAATGAATTTTGATATATGTTTTGTAAATAGATAAAGTTTTATACTTGGTAGTTTAGATTATCAACTTAGATTGTTAGTGGCTGTATCCTCAAAGGGGGTTGAAGTAGCGTAAAATTATTGTCCTCCTGAGAGGGTACGTAAGTCCCCAAAACTTTCAAAGTGAAATTTTCTCGTACCAAGATTTTAAACGTAGTATTTTTGTTCTTTTAAATTTCGGCTAAATCATCCGACAATCACCAGCAGCTGAAGGGATGG